TGATCAGAATTTCGTGCTGATAACGTGTTGTAAACTATTAACTTAACAGTGAGGGATATATATATAAATTTGTATTTATATAATATATTTAGTGTTTACTAAAAGAGGAAATGGTGGACGAGAATGAGATGAAATGGTGGACGAGAATGAGATGAAATGGTGTTAATTATTATTCAGATTTCTGTGTCTTTACAAATGAAACAAATGAGAGTATTTATAGGAGAACACAAAGTTGGTGATTGAATTAGCAATAAGCCACGTAATTGTCTTGGCAACAAACCATGTGATGGAGTGGACATCAAGTCACCGCCTAAGGTGTCAATAGATAATCACTAATTATCTTTAACAGTTAACTGTATTTCTCTGAAAATAATATTTTTCTTATTTAATTAAACATGCAATACGCAAACAACAAATAGTTGACATATTAGTCAAAAATTATTACATCACCTATTAAGAGCTTAAAGAGTGACATGTTCGATTTATGTTGGAAAGCTGTTTGCTCTCCGAAAATGAATCAATATAACATGGTTTGAGCCTGAAAGCCCGTAACTTCGTAATCATTCAAAAATATCTGTATGTTTCCTAGTTCACTTTTCATTGTTAGACTATCTCAAACGCCACTCTAGTTTTTCCTTGATAATTCCACTAAAATAGAGTGCCGTTGATGGTCTTAGTGATCAACAACACTGAATTCAAGTAACTTCCTCTCTTTCGTTGTTAGTGATCAACAACACTAAATTCAAGTAACTTCATCTTGTATTATACGTTCGTTTCATAGCTAGCTAGCTAGCTAGCAATAGATTTTGAATGTACCTTAAAACGATGATTAGAGCAAATGTAGCTCAATCATTAGTAGTAAAGTTGGTACAAAGAGTACAAAACGATCATATTCATCATATTAACGATGAAGAAACAAAACTAGTCACAAAAGAAGAGTATAATAATAATTCAAACACCAGAATCAAGCTCAAGTTTTGAGTTTTTGATCTATTGAACCATTCATACAAAATAGCTTAATAGGTGTAGCCTTTTACAAACATGCCCTCACTGGCATCCTCGGACTCACCTTCTCCTGTGTATTTCCCGAGCTGAGCCAGCGAGTTGGCTTTGGCTCTGGTCAAGAGAGTGTCCTGAGCCGCCTTCACGTTCTCTTCTCTGCCTCCCCATGTCTTCAAGCAAGTGTTCTGCAAGGCACGTGCGTATGAGAAAGACACGTGCCATGGGTTCGGTCCTTGGTTCATTGCGTTCAGGTTCAAGGTCGCCTCCAACTCGGACTGTCCACCAGACAGGAACTGCATACAGAGATAGTTCAAATAACATCAAATCTCAATCATAGTTTCTTCAAGTTAAACACTAAAAAGAGAAAAACTTGCCATGATTCCGGGAACAGCGGGAGGAACTCTATTGCGAAGGAGCTTGAGAGTGTAGGAAGCAACTTGCTCAGGAGTAGCTCTGTCTTTTGACTCAGCACCAGGGGTAACCATGCTCGGCTTCAGTAGGATACCTGTCACCAAATTAAATCCACATAGTCATAAGTTTCTACAAGCCTCTGTGTTTTCTTCCGTATCTATCGCCAAAAGGTTGGATTATTTGCTTGCGTTTACATTAAGTGTGTGTGCGCTTTTTAATAAACCACAAGTTTATTAAAGCATTTTACCTTCGAACATGACATTGTTCTGAGCGAGATAGAAGAAGACCTCAGACCAGACCTTCTCTGCAACCTCATATGTCCTGTCAATGCAGTGTTCTCCGTCCAACATAATCTCCGGCTCCACAATCGGTACTAGACCGCTGTCCTGCAGAACGCAGACGCAAAAAACGTATAACTACATTTGTACCTGAGAAAGTTTTTACAAAAATATATGTTGTACCTGAGAGATAGCAGCGTAGCGGGCAAGTCCCCATGCTGCTTCTTTAACAGCCAAAGCAGAGGGTCCATTTGGAATGCTCACAACAGTACGCCTAATAATAATAATACATAAGAGTCCAACCAAAACACCGTTTCAATTATAACCAAGTCATCATGTACATTTTGATTCTGCAATAAGTGAGAACATATAGAAAACGTACCATTTGGCGAAACGAGCACCTTGTTGGTAGTAAGCAGCGGTACGAGAGGCTAAACCGTCAAGTCCTTGGCACCATGACTCGTCGTTAGACCCAACAAGTGGCACCAAACCCTATTTTTATATATAAACTCATTCTTCATGATTCATACACACGAAAAGAAGAATCTCGAACCTAAACCTAACGTTTATATTGTAATTACCTTGTCGACTTTGATGCCAGGGACGATGTTCTGCTGGACGAGAACGTCAACCATTTTCTTGCCGTCGACGGTGGATTGGTAGAGAGTTTCCTCGAACAAGATAGCTCCGGAGATGTACTGTCCCAGTCCTGGAGCCGACACAAGAAGTGTCCTGTAAGCCTGACGGTTAGCCTCCGTGTTCTCTAGCCCAATGGATGCCAAACGCTTCCCGCAAGTCGCGTTTGACTCATCCATCGCCAAAATACCGCGTCCCGGAGACGCGATTGTTTTCTGCCACCAATATCTCAAACCGTTAATTATTGTTCAAAAGTAATTCAGAGAATATTAGTTGTGATAAGATAGTTACAGCTGTTTTGACGAGCTCGTCGGCGTAGGCAGAGGAGGCATGGACGGTGAGAGGAGAAGGTGCCACGTGGCTCCGGATAGGGGAGACGGAGGAAGGTTGACGGAGTAGGAGACTCTTTCCTTGAAGCCAGTCAGATTTCACGGGAGAGGCTTTGAGCAGAGTCGCGGAGCTTGACGCCATCGTTGCTTATATCTTCTTGTTCACGACTACACAAGAGCTTGAAACGCTTATGATTAACGCTCTCACAACCCACAACAACAGTCAGTGGCTGATATATAGAGGAGAGATAGAACACCAAAGATTGGGAAATTGAGGTTCTCGTGAGCCGGCTGACGAGGACTTACCACGTGGACGATATAAAGAAAATGAGTTTAAGGAACTATAAATAAATAACCCAAAAGATTACGTTCAGATTAGTCTGTGAGTGGTTTTGTAAGGCTGAGGTTATGTTTTGAGATTTTCATCAGATATTGTGAGGTACGGTCCATAGATCACTGCCATGTCAATTCCCACGTTAAATCCCACGTGGCAACGAGTAAGAGCCGTTTCATTTGTGGGGGACTGTAACACTTGGGCCTCGGCCATACCTTACTGGTAAATGACTCGGTTTGGTTCAGTTTTTACTTGTAAACATCCGATTACCTGCAAGGCTGCAAACCTGATCACACGAACTAAAACTCTTGTTGATAAATGAAGGCTGGAAGAAGTCTCAGATATAACAGCTTGTCAGTGACTGGATGCTTTGCCCTTGCCTTGCTGGGCTTGTACTTATGGTACTAAACTCACTCAATCTACATCACTCTCCTGAATTCAACAACAGATTTCTGTAACTCCCTTTCCTCTTTGCATTGTTCTTAATTGACTAAAAAGCTTCTACGCAATGGATGATTTGGCTTGAGTGGGATGGGTTCAAAATTTGCTACAGCCATATAATCCAAACCATACAACATAGGGTTATCCGATATTTAAAGTATCGGAATGAGTATTGAGTTAGAAGAGATTGGATACCAGAACCCAATTGGGTAATACTCATTACCTAAATGGATATCCGAAATATATATAATAACATTATTCCTAATAGTTTGGATCAATTCATTTCCTCTTCATAGTTCACGGATGTTTTGAAAACCAGACCGGACATCGATTTGGTATAGCTATTAGCTGACTGGTTACACCGATTCAACATGTCAAACTGGGTTTTCTTATTTTTATAATTATATATTTACATTATATAGACTTAAAAATTAATTCTACATATAACATATTCTCTTTTCTCATTTATTGACTAGAAAAATAAACAATAAGCGTAAATCTAACTATATAAGTATATATACAATAAACAAGTGAATACTATGTAAAAATGAAATTGATAAAAAACCAAACGATTTATCGTTCAAATTACTGTATTTATTTATTTATTTTAACAGCTAAAGTTTCAGATTTATGAATATGTCAAAATAAAAATAATATATGAAATCCAAAAATATATTTGTTTACATTTCTTAAGAAAATAAAATTAAATACTAATAGTCAAACATTATTATGAAATATTAAGTTTTAACAAGAATTGAGAACACATTAATTATATGTTATTTTATAGAACCGGGTTTTAAAGTTGATCTAGATCACTGATTTTACTGGTTGCTTGTTTTACCAGCTTTTATCAAATCCAAGTTTTAAACCGAACCAGACTAGGTTTCTTCAGCGATTCACGGTTCGACCGGCCGTATCAGTTTTCAAAACCATGGTTCACACTAAATCTAACCCGTCTCCACCTTGGATTTTATAATTTTGTCTTTAATTTCTCCACACTTTTCGATTTTTCGAGAAGATACACTCTTTTCTTAGGTTGCTTTGGTGAAATATTGATTTTATCTTTGAATACTTGATGTCCCACTCTTTAGTTACAATCACTTTTGTTGTTGTGTGCTTATAATACTATATTGTTCTATCTTATAATTACTATTTGATTCGTATTTTTTTTGATTCATGAGTTATGTTCCTTCTAATCTTGTTGTTTAAACTAACTTCAGATCCGAACTACAAATACCTGAACCCAACCAAAATGTAAAAAATATCTGAACGAGTTCTAGCTATATCCCTATATCAAAATATCCAAATATCTGAAATGTCGGATTTGAACCCGAATGAATATCCGAACGCCCACTCCTAAACACACATACTTTGCTCTTCTTAAATCTAACATGAATTTATTTCGGGCTTGGTTTTCTCTAGCCCTTGCACGTCTTCTATAGGGACAGTATACTTTACTCGGAAGAAAGAAGCAGATATGCAGAGAGAGTGAAAGATGCTTAGCTGGTTAGCTCAGAAAGTCACCATATACTACTAAAAATAAAAGTAAAGGGGAATAGAAAGCAGCATTATTCATTCAGTGGAGATCAATGATACTATGCTTGAGATTGTAATTCATGGAAGAACAGAAAAAATGGAGAAGTCATACCATTGATGGCCCTGTTTCGAGTCCATTCAGTCCTGAGAGTCCACTGTATATAAAAGTATAATGCAACTAATCTGTTAACTACCTCCTCAAATTGGTGGAACTAAGACGATAAAGTATAACAGACCGCCCAATTTTCCCGACTGCTACAGAATCAGTAGCTTCCTCCAATCGCAGAATCATGTCCTCTAGCGTTCCAGGGCATGTCCTGTGTATTTTCACCTATTCAAGGAATCAGCCAGGCATAGCGCGTTTCAGGTTAAGACCTAAATGTTTCATTGAGCAAAGACAGATTGTTTCATGCCATTGTAACTGAGATGGTCTCATAAATTTGATACCTTTAAGAGCTCGTTCTTCTCTAGCGTCTCTAGGACAGAGAAGACAACTGAATCCGTGACGCCTGACTTGCCTACGAGTTGACATTTAAGCTTGTCTCCAAGGTTGTGCGCGTAAGAAGCAATCTTTTTCTTCTCCTTCACCGTCAACTTCATTGGTGAGCTCTCAGTTATTTCACTTATGGAAACCGTTGTACGCTCTGACCCATCCTTATCTTCTTTATGTTCATCGTTTTTCGAGCTATGTGGGGGCAATGAGATGTTGTCTATATCTTGATTTTGTTCGCAAGCAGAAGACAAGTATTTAGGTACGAGGAGAGAAGAGAGTGAGCTATGAGGAGACTGGAGAGGTAAAGAAGAGGATATCGACGAGAAGAAGAATAAGAAGGAAGGGAAGCGACGCTCTTGATAATTGGGTTTACGGATTAATAGTGAAACGGATCTGCGGAACAAACAAACTGGAGACTTTGGTGGTTTGGCATGTCGGAGAAGATGTTGTTGAATCAAAGTCGATGACTTTTTTACAGTCGTCATTACGGTTGCGGCTATGTCCGGTCTCCTTCTGCCCCTCCCTGAGATTTTATGTGGGTTTTTAATATCATTTTGATTAATTATATGATTTTTCTCAAATGAGGCCAAAAGGGTGTTTGGTCTAGTGGTATGATTCTCGCTTCGGGTGCGAGAGGTCCCGAGTTCGATTCTCGGAACACCCCTTAACTTTACATCATTTTAAATCATGTCGCACAAGAACAAAACTGCAGAAAGTAAGAATTTTTTTGGCTTCGGTCTTTTTCCTTCAGAATATTTTATTGTTTCATTCTGATATGATTAGTAGGTACCTTCATATATACTTGCCTGCATATTCTTGGTTTTATTCTCTGTGGTTCGGTTTGTGATTTATGGTTTATGCTCTTCGTTCTAGGTTGGTTTACGTACAGTACCTTCTTGTGCAGCTAAGCAATGGAGTTTAATTTCGGTTTAAGATTTGTTTCTTAAGATTTACCCTGATGGATTTGATTTAAGACATATTGCTTCTGATTGGCTAGAAGCATTTTACGTGTGAACCGGCTGGGAATGTCCCAAGTCATTAAGACACTAACATGGATTAGATTCTATCGATTTGTTCTTCTTTTACAAAGTCTGATCATCACTGATTGCTACTATGTATGCTTGGATTGAGAACATGATTCTGCTTATATTGTATTTTATAATCGATTACACAAATTTGAAATAAGAAATTTTAGGCGTACTATGCAATTCACAATTGAATAAAATGACGGCCGACAATAGTACAGGCATCCATGATTTACAAATTCATAATAATAAAACAAAACATACCATACGAGCTCCACTCATCTTTAAAAAAAGATCTAGTATGGATACATGAGTATTATTAGTACATGTTCTAAAAATCGGACACCTAACCGCCTATTCGCCATTCATCCGTTTCAGTCTCTTTCAAATTGGTTTAAAAAATTGGATGTCCGATTTTAATTCATCTAAGTGGCCTAAATGATCACCTAACCATCTACACGTTCGCCTAATTTTTTATTTTATTATTTTTTAAAATATTTTATTTATTTATTTGATTTTCTCTATAATTTTGATAGAAATTATATTGTATTAAATTTATATTTTATATTTTATATTTGTGTGTTTTATAGAATTTTAAACATAAAATTTATAATGCTATAAAATTAAACTTATCATGTTTTATAATATATTAAATAACCTAAAAATTTTCGCTACATTATTCTTACTTAATTTTTGATTTTCTTATTAGATGCTAGGTCTGATCCAACTATCAAACTGGCGACTAACGCTTAGCGTAATTTTCCAAACAAAGAGTATTACTATATAACCATGTATAAAACCATATAAAAGCATTATTATTTATTATAAAACGATGTGGAACAGGTAAACCCAAGCTTGCCTAAAAGAATAAGTATCCCTCACACGCTTTTACATGCAATAAAATCATAACATAGAGTGATCTCAGTGTGTGAGTGTGATGTACTACTTCTAGACAATATTCTAATTTGTAGCTGACTTTATCATCATATATGTGTAAGTAATTAAAAGACGAACTCTTAATTATCTTTTCATTTATCTGTATGTAAAGTATTATATTTGGGTGTAACTAGTGACATAGGAACTTAAGGAAATAATAAATTTATATACCATTTATAAATAACATTTGCTGCGTATGATTTTTTTGTCATTCCTAATTAAACTTTAAAAAATTACAAAGTATGATTCTTTGTCCTTTCTAAATTTAAAAGAATTACAAAAAAAAAATTCCTTGGAACAAAAGTAAAAAATATATTTTTATATACTCATACATATTCTAGTTGTTCTTGTTCATATTTTAATGGTCATCAGTTCCTCGGTGTTTCAAGACAATACATTTTTAAAACAATCATAAACCAAATCCAAATGCAAACACAAATATATTTTCTGACTAAATTTTTTATTCTATTAAGTTTTAAGAACTTTTAGAATGAGATTCTCCACAAAATATACTGCGCACCTACATACTCATATACAATATATACATATACAAGTTTAGAGTTCCAATGCTCTTAGATCACCAGACTAAAATTCCAAATTACATACCCTAACCAAAAAGTATCAGGTAGTGGAATTCACTGAGAAGAGCGTTTCACTTTCTGAAGAAATTGGGTGATTTAGTTCAGAAAAAAAATCTAAAGATCCCAAAAACATAACGCTGAGATGAGACCGTGATAGACACTTGAAAGAGACTCCAAAAATTCAGTTACCAGTAAAGCTCAATTAATAAATCCAACTGGCCATAACTTTTCACTTATTTTCATTTAAATGAAGGATTAAAAAACCTCTCTCTCTCTCTCTCTCTCTTTGTACATAAAGAGGAAGCAGGCAAAGAGATAAAAAATGGTCGACCTCTTCTAATAATTATCTGTACATATATATATATATGAGAAGGCAGATGTAATATATGGAGATGATGATGATAATGGGGAGAAGGTGTGAAGACTGTGGGAACCAAGCCAAGAAAGAGTGTGTGTATATGCGATGCAGAACCTGCTGCAAAGCCAAAGCCTTTCATTGCCAAACTCACATCAAGAGCACTTGGGTTCCTGCCTATAGAAGATCCCACAAATACCAAGCACAAACGCAAACGCAAGCGCAACCACAGCAGCAACCGCTCTCAACTACCAACCCTAAACTTCTCAGAGAACAACACCCAACTTCTTTCCCTTCATCATCAGGTTCTTGATTAACTTCTTTCTTCTCTCGTGGCTCTAGTACAAGTGCATACATCTAATGAGATTTTTAACCATATAACATCTGGGATTTGAAGATTTTCATGATCTGAGGTCTTCTAGCTAAATTTCCTTTTTTCCCCCTTGGAGCTGATCGTGTTGGACATAATTATAGACTGAAATTTTCGATCATCCAATCTTATGAATACAAAACCAGACTATAGTAAGTGAAAAATATTTAGTACACTACATATATAGGTTCTATGTCTATATCAACGTGATGCTGCTTAGTGATGTTGAATTTGCTTTATGTTTTCTCAAATCTCAATGAGTTGAAATATAACAAATCGTTGGCTTATGCTTCTTGATTTTCTTTAATATCATACTTTTGTCTATTTTTGATATTTTAATTTTTATATAGCTGTAAACTTTAGAAGACCAAAGTAGATTAATTTGTGATTAGTGTATCAGTAAATACAAACTACCTCAATAGTCTCTGATGATAGATATAGTCTTTGACAAGATCGAGAAACATAATCATGTGATTGTTAATCATTCTTTTGATGGCCATTTAAAAAATATATATATATATATAGCAAATAATTGATGCACAATAAAATTACTAAAAATATTGGATCTACAATTTAATTACTATCAAAACATTCTTTCTGGTCATTAATTAGGTGTAAGAATCCGCACAAGTACGGAACATTTTCCTGCGGAGTTGAGTTCTGTAGCGGACTTCCGTTGCGTAAAGGTGAGTTCAGTAGATGACGGAAAAGAACAATACGCTTATCAGACGACGGTAAACATCGGAGGACACGTTTTCAGAGGCATTCTTCATGATCAAGGCCTCGAAAACATTGTTGCAGATCAACAACCTGCTCATCGTGTTCAAGCTTTACTTCCTCCTTCATCAAGTTCTTCATCTCCCTTGATGATGACTAGTCCTTTTACAGATTTCATGGCCGGTACCATGTTTTCTTCACACCAAAAATCTTAATTGAGAATTTTTTTTATTAATAAAAATCAGTGTAAATTGACTAACTTTTAGATGGATATAAGTTCTTGTAATCTTTGTCATCTTATGAAATGATTCCAGTGTTGTTACTCCAAGTTAGGGCTCATCATGGATGTAACTGTATATGTAGCGTAATAATGTATATCGCTACTTTTGTATCTCCTAGCTAGAACGTATGAATCTAACTATCTAATAGTATAAAAAAAAACTAGGATCTAGCGCAGCATCAATATACCAAAAAGTTAAAAGATATAACTTGTTCTAATATATATAGAAAGATAAGTGAAACATATAAATAAACGAAAGTAAATGAAAAAACATTCTTGAACAAAAATACTGAAAAACATTTAACATGATTTGCCAATTAGCTATCTACGTCTATGGGATAGATAAATTTTATTAGTGGAAACTGTAATAAGGTTATATGAAATGCAAAACATATATAAAGATTATAATGGTTTGAATACATTTGCTGAGTTTAAAAATGACTAAATGGAAACTATAATCTATATATAGATTATTTGTTGTAGTTGAAAACATATAAAAACAAATTAACTTTTCTTATTAGTTTATGTTGAGTATATATACATACGGCAACGACTGATAATGGTAAATTTTGAACAGCTTCCAAAGTCTGAACCATTGGTTTTTGTGGTATTTGATGGATAAATTCAATACGGTGAATCCGCAGTTCGATTTCTGTTTCTCATCCGGATTGTTTAAAATTTGGTAAGAATACATGATTATTATGGGCTTTGTGTTTGTGGGATTGATCAGTTAACCTCGATTTTCGGATCCCATGGTTATAAAAAAAACAAATTGTCCATATAATATTAATAGCCAAATAAGTAAGTTAACAGGTGGCCGTTGAGGGGATTAACTTTTGTCTCGTACCTACTAACCTACCTCATTTACTCAATTGCATCTTTATCATAACTTAACTGTGCATAAATAATTGGTGTTTTAGCTATTAGATGCATCAAGCTGATCCACCTGTCTATAATGTAAGTTGTAACTATCAAAAGTAACGAAACTATCTACATTAACAAAACAACTTATTCATAATTGTATCATACATGACCACATTATCTATAAAACCAACCGGCAACACATAAGACATTGGTGCTTTGCCCACATGTTTTATGCATGCGAAAAACATCCACGAGCGAGATTTAACGAAAGAAAAAGAAAAACTTATTAGTGAAAGCACTACTTGCACTCTCTTTACAAATATTTGCAACTAAATTTCTGAAAACGAAGTAGTATATCAATACAGAAGAGGAAGATCATATCGCAGTTAAGATCATTTAGTAAACAGACAATTAGATTTAAACCAATTTTTTTTTATTATGTTTGATCGAGTACATTTATTTCCCTTTCTCAAGTAATACAAATACAACTAAATATAAATATAACAACTAATTATATTAAGCCAATAGTGTTTATACAAATTGTATTATACGATGGTATAATCCTATTAATTTCTATATCTACAGTAAGGAAATTACCATTGGCAAAAAAAAAAAAAGATATGATTTCATTATCTGGTGATTAAAACCCTCAATCTTGCATTCTTGCCTCACAATTTTGCACAAAGGATATGTGTGTGTAAGCAAAGTTAGGTGTGTGCCTTTACTTAGATATTCTGGGTTAGGGTTTTAATATTGATTATATATGTGTTGTATACACTTATACTCTATAATACGTTATTGAATCAGTCTTTTGATGCCTTTTTAATCTTTAAAAGTTTCCCTAAACAGGTGTCGAGATTTTACATTTTTTGGTGCGATTTCCTTTTAGCATTAGCTTTTTGGAATTATTCCCTCCCCAAAAAGTGCTATATTATTGTATTATCAAATTTAAGGTTTTAAACAAAATTAATATATAAATAGTTAATGGGAATCACACCCTATGGAGGGCCTATGTATGTTAAAGGTAAGCTATTACCAAACAGGTTGAATACATTAATACTGATTGATTATATTTATAACATGAATGATTATGCTTTTATGGGTATTAAAACAAAAGAAGATAATGGGCATCAACATGGATGTAAATATAATCCATGTTTATTGGGATTCTTAGAGTAGAGTTTTTAGTTTCAATTAAGATACGTTTCTTAGTTTTTAACTAAGCAAAACTAAGACCGATCTTTTAATAAGAGATATAAAAATCGTTTTTTAGCCAAAAAATATTAAAAAAAAAAGTTCACAATAAACATGCCTTTCATGCATGTTTCTTAAAAAAAAAAGAAAAAATATATATTTATATCATTCATTAAGTATCACTTAGTCCAAAAGGTATTACTTTGATCATCTCCAACAAATTGGTGTAGTTTTTCTCCAACAAAATACCAAAATTGACACTATCTCATAATAATGTAAATAATATTACATCAAATTTCTTTACACTAAATTTGTTTCAATAATAATGTTTTATTTAATACTATATTTCAATTAATATCAAAGTTGAAAATAAACATAAATATATTGTTATTATTTATATTTTTAGTATTTTTTACATAATTAGAAAACTAAATTTTTATTTTTATTTTCAAAATAAATCCCTAAATGACTATTATCATTTATTACTTACAAATAACAAAATATAAATGTGATAAAATAATTATTTATCAATTACAAATAATAAAAATATTAAAAAATTAAAACTGAAAACATCAAATAATTCCACTTTTGGTTTAAATTTTGGTGTCATTTTTGGAGATGACAAAAAGTTATGACAGCAAGACACTAAAGTCTATGTCCACAATATTTCTATAATATAAAATATAAAATTTTAAATTATCATATATATAAATTACTACTGTTTCTTCAGGTTTATATTTAATTTTCATTTGAAAAGATTTAAACAGAAATTCTAAGTATGCCAACGTAATATCCAAATCCATGAATAGAGACATTTGGACTGGTGTTTGCTAAAAGTATCTTCAACCCATTTCTGATTTAAAGATTTCTATTGTAGAGAATTGTGAATTTTATAGAAACTATTGTTGAACAAACGCGAATTAACTCGAAGAAAAAAAATGTAAAAATATATTGAGGTAAATATCTGTTTAGAGTTATATATTATTATATGAATTAAATAATTTTTAATCTTTTAGAATCATATTTATAGCAATTTTAAACCCAATTTCTTTTTCCATATATGAATACATATCTATCTAAAAAAGTAAATTTTCATAAATAAAAAAAACATTCTGTACCAGCGCACATAGATTTACGATACTTTCAAATGTAACAGAAGCAAATATAACATTTTTTATATAAATAGAAGAAAATATAGCATCCTTCTATTTAAACACTGAAGCAAATCTGTATCTCTAAAAATAGAGATATGTCAGAGATGATATAAAAAAACTTATTCTTGAGTTCATCCTCTAGGTTCACCATTCAATAGGATTATATTATTTCATATTTGATATCTTTTAAAAAACGAAACAAAGTCTTATTAATTTACATTATGTTTTTTAAAATAAAAACACAAAATAAATAAAAAGAATAATTAATTAATAAAAACGAAAAATAATTCTTTTTAAAGAAAATATTTTAACACTAAACCCTAAAATGGTTTAGTGTTTATAATTTACCCAAGAGTTTAGGATTTATGAATAGAGTTTAGGGTTTAATGTTTTAGTGTTAAAATAGTTTTTTAAAGAATTTTTTTTATAAAAGTTATCCAAACGTTTATGATTTACCCAAGGGTTTAGGGTTTAAGATTAAAATTTAGGGTTTAGTGTTAAAATATATTTTTTTAAAAGAAAAATTTTCGTTTTCACTAATTATTTATTATTTATTTATTTATTTTTGTATTTTTATTTTTAAAAACATAATATAATTTACCACAGTTTTTTTTGTTAAAAAAAGAAATAATGCATCGACATATCGGTTTTCCAAATTCCAAGCTGGGAACTGCTTTATTTTTTATTTCCACCAAAGTTTCATCTTTGACATCCATTTCAAAGTTAGAAACTAAAGTCTTTTTTAATAAACATTTATTTCATAACACAAATTTTTGGGTAAAATATAACAGAGTTTGTCTCTCTCTAGAATGACATATAAAAGGAAAATAGTATATATATTCTATGAAAAATAAATATAAAAGTATAACACTTGTAGTCTAACAAACAGTTGGTTTCATTGATATCTGGTATCTTGATTTAAAATTATTTATGGGTTATGACGCAAAACATGAAAATTTTGTATGACTATGTAAAGGTTTTCTAGATTGCTTAGTCTGCACGGTAAACTCTGCAGTCTTTTTAACTTATTGCTATCATTTACAAATATACATGGATTATCGAATAAATTCTTCTCACAGACGTTGGATATATATTTTGGCCTAACTCTAAATTTACACATTATCATTATGGTATCATTTTTCCATAACTGGTTTTCGTTTTAGGATAATACTAGTGATTGTATTTGTCGAATGTCAAATTACGCTTTTCGTAGAAAACAATGACATACAACCAATTATTCCCACTCTAGGGTTCCTTTCATCACTATTTAAAATTATATGAATTTATTTTTATGATATCATAGTTATAAGTTCTGTATGGATCGATAGTATATTTATATATATACTAGGTAATAATCCGTGTCTTGCGCGGATGAGATTATTATTTTTGTTATTTTTAAGATAAAATGATATTATGTCTGTTTAGCATTAATATTGGTTCAGTTTTATGTTGTTTTTTAATCTCCTAAAATATAATTATCATTCTAAGTTTATATTTATTTTGGTTTGTTTGGAGTAAATGTTTGATGTTTTTGATTTTTTCGATGATAACCAAAAACTATTGTTATTTGTTTGGTTTCATTTTATATAAATTTTAGACATTTTTGATGTCGAACTAATAGTTTCCTATTATAATTTCTAAAAACATGTAAAATCAAATAAAATCTAAATAATATTTCAAAAATAAAATAAAATTATTAACATAAAACATTTCCCTACAATTT